AAAAAAAACCTAGCCCCAACAAGGGCATTCCATACAAGTGGTTTCATATAGCCACCAAGAAAAGAAAGACACATCAATAGCAAGATGGGATAGAACCGGACGAGGAAGAATAATCAAGCCTATAAGCATGAAGAGGCCATCACGCCTTACTTCTTCACCAATTGAAGGATAATCCAAGAGAATGCCAAGACCACCAGGAATGGTTTCCTCACCAAAGCCAGGAGTGGCTTCCAAAATAATACTCATCAATAAAAATTCAACAAATAACATCATGGGAATAGATCCCTCCATCAATGATGACAATAAAAAGCAAAAAAAAAACAACATGAGAAAAAGGCAAGCTTCGTAAATGTTGAAAAAGCCGAAGCATTTAGAAAAATAGCAAAAAAAAGGCAAGCTTCAAACATGAAAAAGCCAAAGCTAAAAAATGAAATTCAGAAAAAACCCTACCACAAATAGGTGCCTGGAGAGGCATCACAATACTCACGTGGCAGGGGAAACACTAGAATCTCTACCAACCATCCATCAATAATCGAACAAGCAATCATCAAAAGGACTCAGCATTACGCTTGGAGAGGCATCACAATACTCACATGGCAGGGGCAACACTAGAATTCTTGTTACCCATCAACTCCTCTGCCCACCAGCACAAGAGCACCACCAAACAGCAATCCTCGTCTTCATCAGACGTCCTCGCCAAAGAAAAGGGGGCAATCAAATCACAATATCTTATAATCAATTTATTAGTAGAATTATTGTTCCTTTATATTAGTTATAGCCCTTAAGGGCATTTTTAAAACACAAAATTTCTCAGATATCCATTTACAATATCTAGTTTATACTCGAAGAATTTTATCTATTTTTTCACATCCCCTTGTTAACAATATTTACGTGGTTCTATGCATGTACTAGCTAGGGACACGAACAAGGGAACTCACATTCTCATCAAGTTAACTAATACTACCCCTGTAGTTCCAAATATACATATATATATAAAGAGAATAGAGAAATAGACATCGAGTAAGGAGAGAGAGTCCCACATGCAACACCATAGCACTACTTGGGAAATCTTTTCACCCAAGTAGAGGAGATAATGTTAGCACAAAAATAGTTAACAAAAGATGAAACAAGAAACTGATGTCTCTAGCTGAACACCTAGAACATAATTAATTAACAGACCCACATGCATGCATGCATGCATACCCATTTTATACAGCATTACATTTGTGCATCATGATAACATGGTGAGACCAGTTTCTCAGGCCCACCACAGGACCATCACCAAGCCTGAAAAGAGGGTCAACAAAGAAGTGTCCAAAAGTGTATGCCCACCATGGCTATCATCTGTGTTGGTGCCAACTCCAGAAGGGCCCATGCCACTGCCAATCCCTCCTAACACTCCTGGTGTGGAACTGTATGGAGAGGAAGTGGTGCCAGTGGAAGATGTGGTTGTCCCAGTGCCTGCAGTGCTGTTTAGGAAAAGGAACCAATGCTCTCAATATTATCACCAAACCCACAAAAGCAAAGCCAAAACTAAAACACACACACAATCACAAGGACATTGTTATCAAAACCTAGTTTTAAGCCTCTCAAAAACTACCTCAATGTTTTAGAGACTAAGGGTGTGTTTGAATAAATTTCTTTAAAAGCACTTTTAGGAGAAAAAAAGAAATAAGATTATACACAAATTGAAAATAAGATTTTGAAGAAGTTCATCAGACAATTTCTACAAATTAACTTATGCATAAGCTAACATTAGGATCTAATGGATAAATTTCTCCAAGTACACTTTTACTAGAAAAAAAAAAAATCAAAATAATCTTCTCAATAACCTAAAACTAGCTTATGCATGAGTTAAAAATAAAATTTTGGAGAAACAAATAAGAGATAACTTATAAGCTAATTTTATCTTATGAAGAAGCTTATTTCATTTTTCTTTACTATTTTTGCCTCCTATAAGTGCTTCTAAAAAAGCTCTTATTTCTTATTTTTTCCTTATTAAAAGTGCTTCTGAAAATTTTTACCTAATTAACCCTAAAACTCATGAATAGTCTTTCCTTTTTGGTATTCAAAAAGGTATTTCTATCTAATATACTCAAAGAATGATCTCTTTGGAGACACAGATTACCGAAGTAAACTCTATATTTCTACTAACAGATCTCTTTTCTTTATACACAGCCGGAAATCAAAAATTAATCGATGTATTGTTAAAACAAAACATGTGTATAGTTTGAATAGCTATATAATATTCACAATTTTACATGACTGAATTTATTATGCAAAAACAATACTATAATCTTTGCGTTTTGTGTTATGATCACGGAAAAAAGCAACTATTTATGTACTCGTCAGTCTTCAGAATAATATTCTCAATTTGGTGTTGAAAATTAAAAGCTATATATGCATATTAAAAAAAAAAATTTAAAAATATAAATACATTTCAGTTGACAATTGTGTTGAATATTCGTACAGGGGAATTATACAGCTGAAAATGAAACACATCAACCCATACCTCAACCACGCACCTTGATTATTTTAATAATACATATACAACGATCCATACAATATAATATCATTTTCATATTTATTTCTTTACTCATCATTGATTATATTTTAAATTAATTTATTTTTTTCTCTCTTTTTATATCTTAATTTTACAATTTATTATACAAATATTATTTTCCTTTCACAAAAGATAGCACAGCCCATCTACGGAGTTAATTCTTTTTTTTTTAAGTATACAATGATGACAATGAATATAGAACAATAACCTAAATTCTTATTGGTAGGCCAATTCATGTAGTTAAAAAAACTAAAGTTAATAAAAAGAAAATATGGGGTACGGTTCGAATACTATGTACCTTGGCGAGGAATTAAAGAAAAGAAAAAAAGTGAGGCTAACACTTGGTACTACCTACCACTACTTTTAACGTTATTCTCTTGCTCCTAATTTCAAAAATGGGTCATCTTCGATTTTAATTCCTCAATAAAAATTTCAACAAACTAAAAGCTCATCCAACAAAAGTGGTCTACATTAAAAAAATAATACATAAATAAGTGATCTTAAGTTGATAAGGACCCCATAGGTTATAGTTTGTATAAGTCGACACCAAATCACACCACAATTATTAATTATATGCATAAAGTTCATTTGTCCCATGCCACAACATAAAAGATCATTAATATTTGTTTGAAAATATGTTTCCGTCCATCTTAAAGCACAAACATGAAATTATTGATTAGGATTGAAAAACAACAAAGATGGCTCATTAAGAATGAAAATGAGTTAACGGAGAAAATCTCAGTTTTAGAACTAACAGTTAGTATCTCTTCACTTTTTTTTTTTTTTTTGATATTGGTATCTCTTCACTTAATTGTTTAAAATTTGAATCCTAACTTTAGACACAGAATAGAAAAAAAGTATTCATCTTGCATACGTTCACCATCTTATACAAAATTTAGTCACTACTTAAAGTAGAAACTATATCATGATTACAAATAAAATTTGGAGGAAAAGAAAAAAAAAGTGTTCTCACTTCTCACACGCATGAGATGGGTCATTCATTAGTCATGGATAGCAAGTTTGATCATATCCCATTCATCAAGAAAATATAGATCTTTACGTAGTTAATGGCTCATACCTCGAAGCATCACCCAAAAGCATTTTATTAAAGTTATATCATCAAATATCATGTACCCAAAATATCGTGACCTATGAATCATGAAAAAAAAAAAAAAAAAGATGGTGATGATGATGATGGGTACTTTAAATCCTATTTTCTACACTTTTTTCTTTTAATAACTTGTATACATCTCATTAGTTAGTTTGTTCCCGGAAAGGTAAATAAATGGATAAGAAGAGCTCAATTGGGACAAATTTGTCTTTCGATTTTTCTTTTTGTTCACTTGTTCTTGATAAGATTATTACAACATCGTATCCCGATTACTACAGCAACTGAGGTTAAAACTCACAGCCACTCTCCTATAGTATACATTCTTCATGTGTGGAGAAAGGTAAGTAATATATTTTTAAAATTGTATGAAATTTATTATTATTAAATATTTTATATCAATCTTGATAACAGAACAAAATTAAATTATTTAATAGAACCGAGATTTGATTCTGATTTAGACAGTCGCGATTAAAAAAATATATATCATTTTACTTTTATAAAAATCAATTTAATAAGAAGAAACTATATTTTTTTTATTAAACTGAAAAACCCTAATTTAATAGGACTTGCTTTGAATAATTAAGCAAATCTTTTAAAAGAATCAAAGAATATATATTAAAATTACTCTGGATAATTAAGGGTTAATTAAGTGACGAATTGTTATAATTCGATTCGTACAAAATAATATATATATATAAATAAAAAAATCGCTCGGACACCAATAAATGAGCAATGAATGAGTCTGCATCATCATCATACAATTACAGTATTGGTCAAATGAGAAAAAGAGGTTGGCCTACAAGGCTAGAATGGACCACACAGCAACTGCAATATAATAAATAAAAGTAGTGCTAGATTTGGACTTATTTAAATGTAATGTTTTTTTACACCAAAATTTAAGTGCGATGTTAGTCAAAAGAAAACATAAAATCAGATCAAATTTGGGATTCAGAACAAATAATGCAAAATATATTGCAAGAATTCCATTTTCTCTCTCTTTTAGTTAGGTCATTGCTTTTAATAAAACTTGGTTATTGTTCCTTAAGTGCTTGTGGTGTTACTTTCTAATCAAATTTGATATTTTACTACTTCAATCACCCGTGTTGAATCCTAATATTCATCTTAATGCACACATTATTAAAGTAAATTAAACTTGAAAACAATATAACAAACACATGAAATACTACTACACTTAAATTTTGTCCTACATTGGTCAAACAAGAAAAATGACCTCTGGTAAATTTAGCCGTCCTACATAAATAAATGATTCTACATATCAATAATTCAGATCAAGGTATTAATTATGAACGAACGAAGATGTTTCTTTAGAAAATAGTAGTAGTAATGATCATTAAACATTAAAATTTTTCATAAATTTTCTTTATCTTAATGTAAAAAAAAAAATATATATATATATATATAAATATAAAGGATATAGGTTAGAGTATATTTTTTATATTATTATTTAAAAATAATGTAATAATAATCTAAACTCTTATATGTTAATATCAATATAATTTTCTTATGCAAATATATGAAATCTGTCCATTCATACATTTAGATAGTGAAAGTAGTAAAGACAAATTTCCAAATCGTTTTTTTTTTTCCTTATTAAAAAGATAAGGAATTTAACTCGCACATAAGATAATTTTGGTAAACTTTTCACATATTCCCTTATTTGCTTAATATGCAAACCTAGAGTTTTGTTTACATAGTCATACCCAAAGTCATGAATATTACAATGACTTGTTTTATATCGTAAGAACCATGTACATATGTTGGTAGATTTGAATTTGTTCGAGTCATTGTAATTTTTACGAATAAAAATATACTTTAAATTATAGAACTTTATCATTAATAATTATTAATTTGTTTAAGTTTCATATATTTTACAAATTACAATATAATCATAATTATAAAAATATTAACAAATTATAAATGTACAACAAACCCAACTTCACAGAAAAAGAAAATTATACATGTCACTGAATTAAATTTCAAATATTATATTATAATATCCATAAATAATATTCATATAACTCTATTCGTATTTAGTTTAATTTATCTTAAAAACAATACTAATCCATAATCCCTACCAAACATCAGTTGTCTGTTTCATTCATTAGTCTTCTCTTGATTAAAAAGTAACACATGAAAGAAAGAAAAAAAAACAATTAGAAGCTCAAAAGGACCTGAACAACACTTTCATATGAATGGTTTGAAAATCCAATTTACATTACGCGCTTGTGAAGCTGCGAATATGCGAAACAAATGAATAATGCACCCACTTCTCCCTAAAAGAGAAGCTTTTGTGGGGTTACATAGTTTTAATCTAAGCATTGCTCACAGTCTCCATTATGAGAAAAGTAAAGTCACTAGCTACCATAAAAAGTCACTAGCCACTATGCTACTATATGTGTATCAGTGTATACTATAAAGTATAAGCCATATCATATACCATATAGAACTTAGTTTATGCAAAAGAAAATAAAATCTACACTAGTCAGGGGGGGAGTTTTAAAATTGTTCAAAGGTTAGAAGAATCAAATTCCAAGCAAAGAAAAAGGCATCAAAAGATGAAGACCACAAGGAGTTCAAGAAGCATACCTGGCACTTGCAGGGTAAGAACAACCTGCGGTACCTGCTCACAAAAAAACAACAACACAAGGGATCAAAAAACATGGTCACATTTTTATTTTATTTTTCAAATCAATTTTTGTTCCTTGGTTTTACTTAAGAGATGTTTGGTACACCAAAAGATTTTAATTTCCAAGAGATTTTAATTTGGGAATGTCACATTCACATGTTTGATATATTATTTTAAAAAATATTAAATTATATTTTTGCCCCTAAACTTTTGGTAAAGTTGATGAAGTCATAAGAATCGAGAGGATAATTAAACCTTTAAAAATAAAAATTTCTGGACAGGAATGTTTTTTACATAAGTTTCTTACAAAATTGTTCCTATGGAAGAGAAGGTGAAAATTTAACTTTTTCGATTTTAAAAAAAATTTTACTGCTGTAAAAATATCATATTACCATTATTCGCTAATTTAATGCAGGTAAAATATTTAATTCATAAGTAACATATATAAATATTTATAACCCACCAATCATATTTATTTTAGTTATTCTTATGCTATCCAGATTTTCAGAAATATGATTTTTGAACATGAAATATTTTCTCGTATATTAAGTGTCCTTTATATAGTTGTCAGAATAGACTCAGAACCTATTTGGATATGAATTTAGAAGAGTTTTTGCAAGATTCTCTACCAAAAGAAAACTCTTTAACCCTCTACCAAAAGAAAACTCTTTAACCCTCAAAACTTGTTCTAAACTTATATCTAAACATGGTGTTAGATATTAACAATTTTGGTACCGGGCAAATAGATAAAAGGAAGGATACCATGAAATTTATCTTACTTACATTATGGCCAAAAACAGAAGGAAAATAGTGGGGTTTAGGACTTACTGGGATCTGATGCAGTAACAGTGGCGGTTCCTGCAAAGTCACAGGACCCTTGAGCCTGGCCCTTCCTTTGGAAATAGCTGTTAACAGCATAGTTACAGTGAGCTCTAACAGTGTTGGGTTGGAAACAAGGGCCATTTTGATGCAGAGGGTTACAATCAGCCCCTGCTCCACAAGCATAGTCTAAGGTCTTCTGCAGTATTGTATCACTTCCATCCTTGCAAACACACCAAGTGCCACCTACCACATTCCACATAACAAGTTTAGGCCAGAAAAGAAACTCCAAATTACAAACACACATACCAAAGAAAGCAGCAAAAACGTGTTTCAATCATATTTCAAGGCAACTCCTTACTCCACATTATCACACATTCCTTAGTCTATACGCACATGATTTTCTTTAATCATAATATGATTATTAGAACAAAGTATCTATTAATGTCTTTAATAATTAAGAATTTTTGGTGAGATTTTCTCTTAAAGTCACATTTTTTCCATCTAAAAAAACCCGGACTAGTTAAGACTTTACTTAAAAAGCATAAGTTTAGTTGCATATGCACATGATTGATAGATAGTAACAATATTTTTTTATCAGTAAAAATGGTACATAAAAGATATCACCTCCAAATATTACTGGACAAATAATGAGATGTTGAAGATTTTTAGAACAAACACAACTGTGGATTTAGTAATAATACTAATACTAAGAAATGATAAAAATCTTGAGACAGAGGGATCTAACATCAAAAGGGAAGATCTTAACCCGTGCTTAACCAAAAAGAGAAAAAATAAAAAATAAAAAAAGATGCTTAGTTGGTTCAGATGACAGAGGACAAAATGTGGTGGTTGAAAACCAAAACTGCTTACTTGAAGAGCCAGTGAAAGCCAACAAAAGCAGTGCAAGAGCAAAAACTGCCATGTTGCTGATAACTAGAGGGGGAAGGAGAGAGAAGGGGTTGTTTGGAAGAGGAGCTAGAGAGAGAGATAGATAGAGAGTGGTGGGTGCGTGACAGTGTGAGATCAGAAGATGATGAGAGTGACAAAGAAAAAAAATATATATAAGAGGTGATTTTGATTTTGATTATGATTTAGATTTTGTTGTAATAAAAGAAAGTTGTGTAGACGGTGGTGGAATGATGGACCCGGTTGGTGTCATGTTGCGAGTACTTTTGGTACTCATGCATTTATATAGTTAAGGCTACTAGTTGATGTGTACTGTTACTATTATTTATCGTCACAGGTCCTTCTCTTCTATCAAGGGAACAAATATTTGCATTGGGACTCGCAACTGTGTGCCACGAGGCACGAGTAGTGAACACACAATTGCCTCTTTATTTTCTTTTTTTACCCTAATATTAGTGATGTTATTTACTTATATCAAACAAACTACTCATTCTCATCACCTTAACTCAGTTAAAATTATTCCTCTTAACGTTGTGTTAATAGAGGGGGTATTTAGTAGGAATTGGTTAGAATAATAAAAGATTTGAAAGAAAATGAGTAGAAAGAAATAAATGAATAAATAAATAAATAGAAAATAAAAAAATTAATTAAAAAAATTATAATATATATAAAGATGATAATATGATTTAGTATACACATCTTTTAGACAATTTTATTCTTAAATTTATAAATAATAAAAAAATAATATTAAAAATTAATTATTCTTATAAATACAATACTTGAATATGAAACCTTAAGATTTGATAACCAAATGCAATATCAACTAATTTAACAAATGTTGATAATTTTTAAATTTTTATTAAATAAAAAATATAGAAATATAAAGTGTCTAAACTCTATTAGTATCTAATCTATAATACATATAAAAGTAATAATATGATTTGGTATATACATCTTTTAGACGAATTTATCCTTAAATTTGTAAATAATAAAAAAAATAATATTAAAAATGAATTATCCTTACAAATACAAGACTTGAATATGAAACCTTAAGATTTGAGAATCAAATACAGTACTAACTAATTTAATAAACATTAATAATCTTTAAATATTTTTATTAAATAAAATATAGAAACATAATTTGTCCATTATCTAATAAAGATAATTATTTTTTATCCATCATAATTGTACCTGCCTGAGGGTACTCTCGTAGTCTTCTTGGTGGTGAAGGGCCGAACGGATGCTTCAAGCAGACTCCTCAAAAGGGGGAGGTACCTGCAAAAGGCACTACGACGCTCAAGTTAGGACAAGCACGATATTCTAGGACAATTAATGAACAGTGACGTACCTCGTTACGTGTGACCTATTTATAATACCTGACATGGGCCTGAACATGGTGGGCCTATTCTAATCTTTACCAAATTAGGTAATACGATGCTAATCAGCTAATCATGTCTTAATTATGCACTTGTCCTTGTTAACTGATTTGTACTATAACCCGTTTAACCTATCGGCACATTGCTAAGCCGACATGCTAATGCTCGGGGGTTGCATGTCTTCGGCTGTTGGTCGGGCCGGTAAACGTTTACTTGGTAATCCTATCGGATCGGCATTGGACCGAGCCGATACGTAGTATGCGGGGATGCATAATGCTGTTTGCATCGGCCTTCAGCCGAGCCGATATGTGGCAGTTGACTAATCTCGGCCTTCGGCTATAAGCCGAGCCGACGTTAAAGTCAGCCCTGGGTATGGTCCAGTTCGCATGGGTGTCTGACGGAACGGCACGTGTTGGTCAACGTGACCGATAGGGTCCTCCCGGTACACAAGCCCCCTAGTCTTGAGGAGTATAACGACGCAAAGGGTAAATGTGACACTTCGCTTGTTACCTTTTTTGAGGGTAGGCCAAGGGTTACAACTGCTTCAGGGAAACGAAGGGTTGTAACTGTTGGTCATTAATGACGCACGCGGGGAGTTATGACTTAATGGAATATGGAGAGACGTAACCGTTGTCGGAATACCAAGGGTTATAACCGTTGGGTATCAATGACGTACGCGAAGGGTTACGCATCGTGAACCGTTGGATCACTATCCAACGGTGTGCAGAGGGGTGTGACTCTTGGTAACTTGCGGAGACTGCCTATAAATAGGCATGTTGGGGGGGTCCTCAAACATACGCATTTATTACTTGCTCCGAGCCGAAATCGTTTGAGTTGCTGCATTCGCATATTCTTCACCAAAAATTGGTCAAGTTCAATACTCAGGTACGTAATGGCAGATTTAAATGTTGTTCATATTGACTCCTCTGGGGACGAGGGTGATTCTGGGTTGAGGGAGACGCCGGACCTAGACGTTGTATCGGCCTCGGCTTCCAACGGAGAGGACCGTGCAGAGTCCGCACCCGGGTCCGAACGGTCGCAAAGTGGGAGTCACTCTTCATCGGCGATGGCTTTTGACGATCAGCCGAGCCGAGGTGGTGGATCGTCCAGGATTTTTGCTCCCATATCAACTCCTGGATATTCGTGGGTGCACGGGGAAGTTGGCAGCGTGTATTCACGATACACCGATAAGAACTCCCTGATCCGCTTCGTATCGGCAGCGAAGTTCTTGACCTTTCCCGATGAAGAGGAGCCCTCCGCTATCTTTTTTCAGCCGTGTAGAGGTGATGGAGGGCCGAACCCAGATTTCGTATATTTGGACCAAGGTCAAGCAAATACCAATTCTTCTATGTGTATGATTACATGTTCCAGGATTTGAAGATCGCTCTACCTTTTGATGATTATTTTGTCAGTATATTGCGCCTACTGAACGTGGCGCCGAGCCAGCTTCACCCCAACACTTGGGTGGCGATGCAAGGGTTTAGGCAGTTATGCTTGGCTCTTGGTATCCGACCCACTCCGCATCTGTTCCTACACTTCTATTTGTCTCGGCCGACGAAGAAGATTAAGTGGTTGTCCCTGGTTCGGCACAGTGATTGCCTGTTACAGCCTTTCACCACCTCTTATAAAAATTTTAAAGTAGGATTTATGAAAGTGATGATTCGGCTAGAGCCAGGGAACAAGTATTTTTTTGATGCCGAAGGGAGATCGTTGTTTCCATTGTACTGGACTCGAAAGCCGAGGAAGTACGAAACGGTCTCCAAATCCCGAATGTCCCCAGAGGAGAGATTGAGTCTGAATTTTTTGGAGAAGTTGCCTCGGCCTTTGTCGTGCCGTCCTCTGGTCTGGTTGTGTGAATCGGCCGACGTAGTTGAAGAATTGATTGGTATAGTACCTTTCTTACTTTTTTAAATTCTTGCGTTATCATTAATTTTGACTAATGATGTGTAGGTATCATGGCAAATCACAGAGAGGACGATTTGGATATTCGCACACTGATCAGGAATCAAGTGGCGGCAACTACTACGAACAGAGCCCCGACCGGTGTGCGCGAGAATCAGTCGTCTGCCCAAGGTAGTGGAGCGGGGCCAACGGTCAGGCCGAAAAAACCCTCTCGGCCCCAGCCTGAAAAAAGGAGGCCTGACCCCAGGGCCGAGGAAAAGAGCCGCCGGGCCAAGCAGCGCCGAGTGGCGAGTTCACCTGTTCCGGAAAGCTTGGCTAGGCCGAGTTTTCTGGCCGGCAATGTCAACGCTCAAGATTTTCTGAGCCAAGACCTGACCTCCGAATCGGGTCAGGGGGTGCTGGGTCGTATGACCTCGGCTCAGAAATGGAGCTTCTTCTGTGAAAAAGGATACTTGGGTAGTTGCTTGAAGAGGCAAGTCAAAGAATACATAGGTTGAACTAGAAGTGTCTTGTGAAATAATACTTAAATCTTTGTAAAAGATAATGGAACTTGATCAAGTTGAACAAGAATTGGACATAGTCTTAGTGGTTGAGACAAACCAAGATAAAATTATTGTCTATTATTTGTTCTTGAATTTTCATTTTCACTTTTAAAGTTTTGATACTACTTCACGATTTAGAAAAAGTGTTGAGTTTTCGATTAACACTATTCAACCCCCCTTTTTTTCTTTTCTCCATAATGATGATGAGGAGATTGGTACCATATGCATGTAGAATTAAGCACATGCATTTGCACGAGTCAAAGTTTATTATGATTCTAATTGATTCGATTGTCTAAATGATTGTAAAGTGAATTGGTGTGTTGGGAATGGATGTTGCCTATAATGATTGGGATTGCATGTATGAAACTTAAATATTATGCATGTCTATTTGGTGTTCTTCTTATGCTTCATATGTACTATACATGGATGAGATGTATTCTCACTCTCTATGTGTTGGATTGATTACCATTAGTAGGCTTATATAAGGTTCAAGAGGAAAAGTTTGGTGAAGGTGAAACTTAATGCTTCATTGTTACTTTGAGATTTTACTTTAATAGTGTGACATTGAGGCTTAAGAATTTATGTTTCTTTTAGTATAATAAAATCTATTAATTATTATGGCTTTTCGAGTAGAAGGGTCTCACAACCACAATGTAATGAACAACAAATCTGCCTCAATCTAAACATAAAAATAAAAAAGATCATTCAAAATCCTCGTGCATACGCACTAAATAGATATGATCTAACCTGGTCAATAATTTCTATAAAATATTCTATTATTATATCTTTCATCTTGTTCTTCATGTTATTTTGATTTAAAGTCAATTTTAATGCATGATTTCATATATTGTTTGGAAACTTAATAATATATTAAAAATATTTATAAAAAAATATTTTCATTTTCTTCTAATAAATTATCAAACAAACATTACAAAATTTATTAATTATCATTAACAAAATACCAAATTTATAGAAACAATTATACTATTAAAATAAAATTAAAAATTTATTTATATATTGACTAATTTATAAGCTAATAAATTCAATAAAAAATACATATTATAAAAGTAATACTGTTAAAAAATGATTTTGTAAAAAAAAAAAACTGCAATTGAAACATGTATTACTCGACTTTTATATATTATAAACAAATAATTGTAAAAAAAAATAAAAAAGTAAAATAATATTTTTGTTGT